TGCATCAAGTGATATTTGAGACAGAACATGTACAGATCAGATGCTTACAGGGGCGGACTGACAACTCATGGGGCCCCCGGGCAATAGGGGATCATGGGGCCCCTGTGTCCTTGCCCAAACTCAAAAAAGCCTATAAAAAAGGTACCAGGGGCATCTCATGGGGCCCCCTATTGACCCCGGGCCCTCGGGCAGTGCCGAGTTTCCAAATGGTCAGTCCGCCCCTGGATGCTTATTCAGCTACTCAAACTCACCGTGTATCCGCGTTATCTGGATATGGAGCCCATCACTCCTCTTCCTCACAGTGTCAGATGCCGTCCTCACTTCACAGGTATATTTCCCAGAATCCTCCAGCTGAGCTGACCGCACTCTGTATGTATCGCATACATTGAAGTCCCTCACAGTCCGTCCATCTCTGTAGAAGGCAAAGTGCAGCTCTGTGCCGCCTCTGAGCGGATCCAGTCTGGTGTCACACACGTCACCGTCATCTCACCTCCTTCTATTACCCTGGATGGGGTCACTTTTATTTCCAGAGAAGAGAGTTCTGGAGGAGGAAAGGAGGACAATGATTGGTCAGTAGGAATCCCATTCAATGTCAATGAATGACAAAGAGAACATGAATGTCTAAATGTAACGTGGAATCCGACACGCCCAACTCTGGCTTCATTTCATCTGCTCACCATGGATCTGGATATGGAGCCCATCACTCCTCTTCCTCACAGTGTCAGACGTCGTCTTCACTTCACAGGTATATTTCCCAGAATCCTTCAGCTGAGCTGACCGCACTCTGTATGTATTGGATATACTGAATCCCCGCACAGTCCATCCATCTCTGTAGAAGGCAAAGTGCAGCTCTGTGCCGCCTCTGATCGGATCCAGTCTGGTGTCACACGTCACCATCATCCCACCTCCTTCTATTACCCTGGACGGGGTCACTTTTATTTCCGGAGGAGAGAAGAGTTCTGGAAGAGGAGATGGTTAGAAATGACAAATGATGGGGGGTGGTAATTATTCTGTAAATGTTGATGATCCCACAATGCTGTGCAGACAGAGAAACAATTGATATCAGTGTTTGGCCAAGTGGAGCTCTTGTACCCCATTTACAGCAATACACAGTAATAGAGAGCACAGTATGGGCAGGTTGGCACCAGTTGGCTTCATCTCATACCTTTGTTCCATAAACACTTCGATTTGACACATTTATGTAATGAATTTTGGTGCTGGGCACTTCAGTCCTCAATTACCCCCCCCCCCCCAAGCTTTGCCAGCCTCATTGTTAGAAGTGAAGCTAATACTGGGGGCGGGTGCAGGGCTTTTTTTTTAGCAGGAACGCACTTCATTGGCACTGAAAGTATGTAATGACAAGAGCTGCTGGGGTCTGCTGAAGGGTCTATTGTTGCTGTTTCCTGGAGATCTATTGTTTTGAGCAGGTCTATTGTTGCTGTGGGGGTTTAAGTTGCTGGGGGGTCCTTTGTTGCTTGGAAGTGTCTCCTGTTGAGGAAGGGGTCTGGGCTGCTGGGAGATCTATTGTTGTTGACGGGGTGGATCTCTCGTTGTTGGGGTGGGTGGTCTACTGTTACTGGGGTGTGTCCATTTTTTTTACTATTTTTTCTACTCTGTAGAAGGCAAAGTGAAGCTCCGTGCCGCTTCTGAGCAGATCCAGTCTGATGTCACACAATACCGTCATCCCACCTCCTTCTATTACCCTGGACGGGGTCACTTTTATTTCCGGAGGGGGGAAGTAGCTCTGGAGGAGGAAAGGAGAACAATGATTGGTCAGCAGGAAACTCACTCAATGTCAATGGATGAAAAACAGTGCATTGTTGCTGGGGGTGGGTGGTCTACTGTTGCTGGGGTGGTCTATATTTTACCGCCTTTCTTGTTATCATTGACAAATTCCATACAAATATTTAGCATGGAAAAATGATACTTGGTTCTATATTCTGTATAAGGGGCAGAACTGGGAGGCGGATAGGGGATGGAACCAAGGAACGGTGCTCAGAGGTGGGGAATAGGGGGGCAGAGACAAGGGGTGACTCGGAAGGGGGGGGTACCTGCACCTATTCTCTGGGAGAAAAAAGCCCCATGGGCAGGTGTGTCTCTATGGGAGGCTGTAAAGGTCTACTCTGCCCTGGAACGAGCACCACATCCAATATTCACACAATGGCGGCCTCCAGAGCTGAATGGAAGTCTTGGCACACATATACATTACACATCACTTCAAAAGCTATCTCGGCAGGTTCCTCTAAGCAAACATTTTATCAGGTTTTTAGGAAAAAAATAAAAATGTGTCTGAGTTTGTCACAGTTGTATATGGACACGTAGGGGTCTGCTTATAAACAAGTCACAGTATCCCTGAGCGGTCTGCAGGATACTCCATGGGATGTGTATTAGGGCATAGTATTTCATCCTCTTGGAAGGACCTTTTCCTTGGAGTTTATGGTTAAAACCTATTTCTTTCTGGAGCTCACATTGTAGGAAGATAAGCTTCATTATACAAGGGGCTGAGCCGGCTCTGTGCAGAGCAGGTCCCAAGTTGAGGTATTGCTCCATAGTGTCCCCCTTGTGCACCTCTGTGTCTGCCCATATGAGTGGTCTATGGATCTGGTTCAAAACAAATAGAACATAAATATCACCATTCTTTCCCGAAGAAGCAGACTAAAACTGCCCTGTAAAACACATGGAAAATGGGATGTCGTCTCACCATTAGCCCTAGCCAGACCTACGCCGCCGAAGTATTCTGTGTATTGAGATTTGTGGTTATATACACTATATGCCAAAAGAATAGAGCCACCGGCCTTTCCACGCATGTGAATTTAATTGCCCCCATCTTAGTCTGTAGGGTTCAATATTGAGTTGGATCCGCCATTTCCACACACATGACCTTTAATGTGCCCCCCCAGTCTTAGTCCGTAGTGTTCAATATTGAGTTGGATCCGCCATTTCCACGCACATGACCTTTAATGGCCCCATCCAGTCTTAGTCCGTAGGGTTCAATATTGAGTTGGACATGCCATTTCCACGCAAATGACCTTTAATGGCCCCTCAGTCTTAGTCCGTAGGGTTCAATATTGAGTTGGATCCGCCATTTCCACGCACATGACCTTTAATGTGCCCCCCAGTCTTAGTCCGTAGGGTCCAATATTGATCATGGCCCCGCCCTTTGCAGCTAGTAACAGCTTCAACTCTTCTGGGAGGCCGCCACATAGGTTTAGGGGGTGGTCTATGGGAAGGTTGGACCATTCTTCCAGAGGACATTTGTCAGGTCAGGCACTGATTGTCGGGGGAGGAGGCCTGGCTCACAGTCTCCGCTCTAATTCATCCCCAAAGGTGTTCTATGGGGTTCAGGTCAGGACTCTGTGCAGGCCATCAAGTTCCTCCACCCCAAAGTGGCTCCTCCATGTCTTTATGGACCTTGCTTTGTGCACTGGTGGGCAGTCATGTTGGAACAGGAAGGGGCCATCCCCAAACTCTTCCCACAAAGTCCAAAAATATTGCCTTAAGAGTTCCCTTCACTGGAACTAGGGGGCCAAGCCCAACCCCAGTGGGAAAAAAAAACATATTTTTTGACTTTTTGCTATAAAACATGTCCAGTAAAAAAAAATGTAAAAATCTAATTTCACCATAAATGTTGGCCAAATTATATTTTTGCTCCATGTCTCTGCTAAAAAAAAAAACAATACGTGTAAATTAATTGGTTTTTGTGAAAGTTATAGCGTCTACAAATGGCGGTGTATATACTGGGAATTTTTTTTTTTTACTAGTAATGGCGGCGACCAGTGACTTATTGCGGGACTGTGAGCGAGCATCCTGACACGGACTGGGGGGGACTGACTAACTGCCACTGACATCCCCAGTGACCACCAATACAGTGATCAGTGCTAATAAAAAGCACTGACTCTGTAACTATTGGCACTGGGCAGGAAGGGGTCAACATCTGGGGTCATAAAAGGGTTAACTGTGTGCTGAGTGTTTTACTAGGGAGACATGCTGTGCAGAGAGATACAAAGCAGCATGTCCTTGCTGACAGGATAGAGATCTGTGTTGTTTACACACAGGTCTCTCCCCTGTCAAATTCCCCGACGATTGCCGAGTGCCGGTCGGGAACCACCGGCACTCGGCGGTATCTCTAGCCGCCAATAGCAAACTGGTAGACGGTGCGTGCATGCCCTCCCCCTACCCAGAAAATGCAAATCACGTATATATACATGATTCTGAGCTGCCGTCATGTAGACAGTACTGCTGCTATAGGCCGGAGGGCAGGCAGTTGAAGAAAAAAAAAAACAAGCCTCTAGAACCACTTTAACTGCCATATAAGGTAATTGACGGGTGCAAGGCGGTCACACTCTGTTCTGGGAGGACGTCATATGACGTCCTCCCACTCTAACCGCGCGGGCTGGCTCCGGGAGCGCAGCGGTCAATCGGTGGTGGCGCTGTGTCCCTTGGACACTGCGGATCACCGAACCAACAGAAACCCAGAGGTGACTAAATACCACCAAAAGAAAGCTCTATCTGTCTCAAAAGAATCTAAAAATTTCATATGGATACAGTGTCGCATGACCGCCCAATTGTCATTCAAAGTGTGACAGCGCTGAAAGCTGAAAATTGGCCTGGGCAGGAAGGGGGTATAAGTGCCCGGTAGGCGAGGGTTGCGTCACTTTTTTTGTGGAGGAATTCCCTTTATTTTTTATTTCTGCAACCTGAGTGACTTTGACGATCATTTCTTCTGGGAGTTCACCTTCCTCTGGACCTACCAATATTTCTAAGGATGCAGTTTTAAATAGATTTGAATTCACCTTTCACAGAGATAAAGGATCCATCGGAGAGAACTCATCCACAGTTGAAAGATCAAAGCTTGTTTTTGTTTCATACATTTGTACAATCCAGACTGATTCAGATCCATTTTTGGAATATGGAACTCGGAGGCAGATTTTGGTGGTTGGATCTCTTTATCATCCTTGTAGAATTTGGTGTTTATTTCATTAAAAATGTATCGTATGGTGACATCTCAGAGTCAGGGGGTCTCCTTCATATATGGCAGATGGGGGTCTCTGCAGGATGACAAATGCTGAAAGGTAATTAAAAAAAAAAAGATGTACTTTAGGTTGTTCTATTCACAGCCAACAATCTGTAATGATGGAGATGAGATGGTTGACTCACCTTGTGTAACATTTAGAGAGACGGGGATCACTGATATCACCACCACTGACCCGGCACTGGTAATTCTCCTCTGTCCCGATGTACATCAGATCCAATGATATGAAGACTCTGATGATCTCCTGGTATTGGTTGGCTGTCTTTGTACCATTGGTAGGTCCGGGGCTCCTCTGGTCCAGTAGACGGCACATTACACGTTAGAGTCACATCATCATACCATAGTATATTCCCATTCCCCCAGTTGGGTGTGAAGGTCACCGCAGGTTTGGCACCTCCTATAGTAGAAAAGAGCTCACAGAGAACACATAGAGAGCACAGTGTGCAGCAAAACCAAGATCGCTGAACATATTTTGTAGAAGAAAAAAAAAAACATCCTCTGGAGAAATTAGAATGTTTGTAGTCCTGGCCACAGAGCTTGTTGTTAAATCTTTGTTTGCAACCACAACACCCCACCCCCCCCCCCCCCCCCCCCATGTCTTTTCATTATTTCAATCTCAGAACTGATATGGCATTTTTTTTTTTTACATACGCATTTAAAAATTTAGTTTAGGCCCAAATTCAATTGAGAACTGACATAGGCAGACTAGTACCTGTAACATGTCATCATACAAGGCATGGGAAAATTATAATCAACGCCTCAAACCCCTTGTTTCACAGAAAACGTTAAGCTGTAAGTTTTTTCTATAACATTCCTATATGAATGGCATATTATCCGGTATCAGCTCTGTACTCACCAGATCTTCCCTCGGTCAGAGCTGAAAAGTGAAAAGGCACTCATTAGAAAATATTACGTACAGTAAATGTCATCAACGTATCTAATGCAGTTCAAACATTTTCTTCCTTTCATTTTCATGTGGAAAGTATGCATTTTCTTTATAACAAGGATGTTCCCTAGGATCCCAATTTTCTCACCAAAAAAAAGATTGAAACTGCCGCTCTCACTTAGGTGACAAGCTTTGATTTGGAGAGGTTGGACCTTCTGTTGCCACTCAGGACTGCTGTTAGAAACCATGGGGCCCCATACAGCCAACCTGACAGGGCCCCTCCCTTCCCACACAGTTGACAATGCTTCAGTTATGAATGAGCACAGTGAGTGATCGGACTGGTAAAGGTGACATATTCTTTCCCCCACTCTCCATCCTGAAGGATCCTATTATGTGCTTGCAGCTGCCAGTGGGAAGGAGAAGAGAGAAAAGCTGGCAGCTCTGCAGGGGTGGGGGCACACAGGGGAGGCCTGGGCAGCAGGAGGAAACTTATCATGAACAGGGAGTTTGATTTGTGTGGTGGCACAATTATTGGAACCGATCCCCTGTATAGCTCTCCCAGTGGAGAGGAGAAGAAGCCAGATTTCAGCTGCTGCAAGGAGAGCCATACAGGGAATCAGTTCCAGTAATTGCCCCCTCCTGACATGCCAATCACCCTCCCTGCCTACATCTGATTCACCCAGCTGCCTGGGCCCCCTGCTAGCCTGGAGGACTGGTGGTACCCACTTATCCACAGCCCTGTTGCCACTCCGCCATTGTGTAGCCATCGATTGTCCTTGTATTCGGCCCATAAAGCCCATAAGCCCCCCAACACAGTGACTGGACATATTCATTCACCCATCATATCCTTCCATTCATAGTAACCCTCTTACCAAGACATTCTTTTTATGCTTTAGGTAGCCTCCAGCCACCACTTTTATGAAGCTTTCTTCAGTCACCAGCCAGACCCTTCCTGTTCCTCCTTATGCAGTTCCAGTCAATCAGCCATTAGACTCTATGGGGGGAATTCAATAAAGCTGCCGCGCCACTTTTCTGGTCTTACTACCTCGTGTTAATGTAATGCGCCAAATTCATGAAGCATTTGAGGCACTTTTGATTCTGACAGCGACTCAAGCACCAAATTTCAGATATTTCTAAAATGCATCACTTTTCCATTGTGTTCCATTGAATGCACCAAATGTCAAAGTGGGCTAATTCAGTCCATCTCCCCTTTTGGCATATAGAGGAAAAACTGGCTCAGCCAGTGTCTGCTAAAGTGTCTCACGTGCATTCTAACAGTGCGCAGCATGAGCCAAATTCAAGTACAAGTGTTCTAGACAGGTCCATGACAGGTAGACAGGTCCATGAAAGGTAGACAGGTCCATGACAGGTAGACAGTCCATGACAGGTAGACAGGTCCATGACAGGTAGACAGGTCCATGACAAGTAGACAGTTCCATGACAGGTAGACAGGTCCATGACAGGTAGACAGGTCCATGACAGGTAGACAGATCTATGACAGGTAGACAGATCTATGACAGATAGACAGGTCCATGACAGGTAGACAGATCTATGACAGATAGACAGGTCCATGACAGGTAGACTTCTCCATGACAGGTAGACAGGTCCATGACAGGTAGATAGGTCCATGACAGGTAGACAGGTCCATGTCAGGTAGACAGGGCCCATGACAGGTAGACAGTTCCATGACAGGTAGACAGGTCCATGACAGGTAGACAGATCTATGACAGATAGACAGGTCCATGACAGGTAGACTTGTCCATGACAGGTAGACAGGTCCATGACAGGTAGACAGGTCCATGACAGGTAGACAGGGGCCATGACAGGTAGACAGTTCCATGACAGGTAGACAGGTCCATGAGAGGTAGACAGGTCCATGACAGGTAGACAGGGCCATGACAGGTAGACAGGTCCATGACAGGTAGACAGGTCCATGACAGGTAGACAGGTCCATGACAGGTAGACAGGTCCAGGAATTTGAAGCATGCTTCGCCACATTTAGAATGCATGAGAGACACTTTTGCAAAATCTGCCGTAACCAATCATTATGAACTCCAAGGAATGTTTCCACCATATTCCCTTTAACTACACCAGTCACCCTTATTCAACTCCTTCACAGAGTGATCAGACCCCCTACCCCTCACAAGCTGCATAAGTCGAGGAGTGGTGACACAATTCTGGGATCTATTTAGAAAGAGGATATAACATCAAACAATATTTTAATGACATGAGACCAGTGCCGTCATGGCAATATGGAATCATGGGCCCCTGGGCAAAGTAATGCACTGGGGCCCCTACCAGCCTGCCCAATTTACACATCTACTCTCAAGAAATAGAGTATAAATAGTTGATAGAATTAAATATATTTATTTATAAAACTGATTTTAAACTGTAAGAAAGTGTGCCATAAATCAAAGACTAATCCACACAAAAGGCACAGTATTGGGGGGGGGGGGGGCAGAAGGGCACAGTATGGGGGGGACATCAGGAGGGTACAATACTGGGATCAGGAGGGCACAATACTGGGATCAGGAGGGCACAGTACAGGGGGACATCAGGAGGGCACAATACTGGGATCAGGAGGGCACAGTACGGGGGGGACATCAGGAGGGCACAATACTGGGATCAGGAGGGCACAGTGCAGGTTCTTGGACGCTGCCCTTGCCTTCCTGGGACAGGCTTAGTAAATCCCGGACAGTTGGCAAATATGATGTAATGCAAGATTATCATGGGGCCCCCATGCATCTGGGGCCCCCTGGGCACTGCCCATACATTAAGAAAGCCCTGCGTGACACAAGGGACATTTGGCTGTAGACCAAGAACATTCATCATTGACTTTGGCAATTAAAATTAAGATTTTCTGAAAATCACATTTGTGGAATCTGATTGATCTAAATCAGTGGTCTTCAAACTGGGGGCCAGATGTGGCCCTTTGATTGCTTTTATCCGGCCCTTGGGGCACTATTTCACCCACTAATACCAACAATGGGGCATAATTCTCCCCATAAACACCAAAATTTCCTGCAGTGACACGGGCAATGGATTAAAATTCCTCCCAATGACACCAATGATGGGGCACTATTCCTCCCACTGACACCAAAGATGGGGCACTATTCCTCCCACTGACACCAAAGATGGGGCACTCTTCCTCCCACTGATACCAATGATGGGGTCCTATTCCTCCCACTGACACCAATGATGGGGCACTATTCTTCCCACTGACACCAATGATGGGGCACTATTCCTCCCACTGATACCAATGATGGGGTCCTATTCCTCCCACTGACACCAATGATGGGGCACTATTCTTCCCACTGACACCAATGATGTGGCACTATTCCTCCCACTGACATAGGGACCTTTTTTACTCCCACTGGGCACAGTCCGGTCCCCCTAAAGTCTCAAAGACAGCAAACTGGCTCTTTGTTTAGAAAGTTTGGAGACCCCCTGATCTAGATGAATGGGAATCCTCCAGCCTGTGTGACAAGACCACAAACACAGCTACAATCAATAATTATAAATACAGCACAAGTCAAGAAATGCTCTGCTCAGGTGCCTTCCGTAGCTCCTTTCTGTAATGAGCAATCCACCATCACTGAGAACGGGTTATACTCAACAATTGGAGCAAAATGTATTTCTCATGGAACAAGACAGACTTGTATAATGATCATTAGATGGTGTCAATAGTGACTATGATGGAAGAAGAAGAAGAAGAATTAGAAGAAGAAGAAGAATTAGAAGAAGAAGAAGAATTAGGAGAAGAGAGGTCATCATACTGTGTCCCCAGCATATATAATGAGTGTGTTTTACGTCGAGCCTCCAGCAGGTTCATAGAGATGTGTTGGTTTGTGTGTCACACGATCTCCAAGGAAAAGACACTCTGATACTTCAATACTCAGAACAAAATAATAGAATACTAAGAATACAACAAAAAAGAATAAAAACTGTTTTACTTACAAAGGAACACGATGGCGAGGAAGACCGACACAGTAGCCATGACCATGAAGTTGCGATCGCCTTTCTGAGAAGCAGAAGTTATGACTCTCCTCTGACTTCCTGAGAGTTATTTATACACATTTCATCAGAGTTATACCCACTGTTGGAAGGATGTAGAAAGAGGAATAATCTGTGATAGCCAATCAGATCTCACTTCTTCGCAGTGGCGGACTGACCATTCGAGCACTCGGGCACTGTACGAGGGCCCGGGTCAGTAGGGGGCCCCATGAAATATCCCTGGTACCTTTTTATAGCTTTTTTTGGGTGTGCTTTGAGTGTGGGCAAAGACACACAGGGGCCCCATGATCCTTTATTGCCCGGGGGCCCATGAGTTGTCTGTCCGCCCTGCTTCTCCCTTATATATAATATGATAGTCTAGACACTTCAACTTCAGAAGATTTTACCCCCTTCATGACTTCCTGAGAGTTATTTATACACATTTTCATCAGAGTTATAACACTGTTGGAAGGATGTAGAAAGAGGAATAATCTGTGATAGCCAATCAGACCTCACTTCTGCATTATGTAATGTGATAGTCTAGACACTTCAACTTCGAAGATTTTACCCCCTTCATGACTAAGCCAATTTTTTTACTATTCAGAACTGTGCAACATTCACTGGTAATTGCGGAGTCATGCAACGCTATACCCAAATGAAATTTATATCATTTTTTCACAAAAGTAGAGCTTTCTTTTGGTAGTATTTGATCACTACTGGGAGTTTACTTTTTATTATATAAACAAAAAAAAGACCGTATTTTTTTAAAAAGACTTAACAAAATTTTTTACTTACAAAAAAAAATTTCAAAAATCTAATTTCTTCATCAATTTAGGCCAAAATGTATTTTTCTACATGTCTTTGTTAAGAAAACAAAATCTCAAGAAGTGTATATTAATTGGTTTGCGTGTGAAGTTATAGCATCTACAAATGATGGAATATATATACTGGAATTATTTTTTTTTTATAATACTAGTAATGGCAGCAATCAGCATCTTGTAGTGAGACTGTGACGTGCGGAGGGCAATCTGACAGTAACTGACTCTGGGTGGGGAATGAATAACTGACATCTCCAGTGACACTAATGCAGAGATCAGTCCTATTAGATCTACCAGTAGAAATAGAAACTAGAATCCTTTTTTGGGGAAGATATACCAATAAGAATAGTAAATACTTCATAGTCTTTCTCCTTTCACTCCTCTACCAGCTGCTACATAAAATGTTTTCTAGAGAGGTGAAGGTTGGAGAGGCTGGGCCAGCACAGACAATAACTGACACTCCCAGAAGACAGAGGGCTAGGTTGTGCAATGAGTCTGGGGCTGAGCTTTCATTGAATGATGTCTTTAATTTAAGTGTTATGCCAAGAGTGGACGAGTAAAATTCAGGAGACTGGTCCTGGGAGGAAATCATTTCCACCATCTTTTCTATTTACTGCATTGTACTGATCTTGACATTACTGCTGACCGGGGTCCATTAGATTTAATTTACTGTTCACTCTTTAATTTCTTAGCTCAGAAGAATAACCATGGCTTAAACTCACAGTTTCCTTTGGATACACCATGACTACACATCACTCTAATGTCCTTCCTCCCCACCTCCAGTAAACAACACAAGGCAACTTCTTTGAACAAGAACTCAATTTACTGAATTGATTTTCAGAATATAGTTGAGTTAGCACAGAATAATTCCTTTACCTAGAATTGTTTGAATTAGAACAGGTGCATAAAAAGAGAATAACAAAACAGACCAAGCAGAAGGTTATGGGAAAACGAGAAGAATTAAATCATTTATTGAAAGAGGAAAAGAGGAGAGTATTTAAGAAGATGATATCGGTGGGGAGATAGACATGGAAAGTATTTGATGAAAGCTCAAAGAAAAAGAAAGATAAGGACTATATAGAGAAAATAAGAGATAATAAAGGAGAACTGAAATATTCTACCAAAAATATAGCAGAAGTGTTTAAAGAGTATTATAGTAAAGTATATAATATTAATCCTCAACAGTTCATAACAGAAGAGGAAGAGAGAAGTAAAAAAAAAAAAAAGAATAATTCCTTGACATAAATGATTATAGTTTACCCGACAGTTGGCTGTACATTGATTTGGCTGTTCTGTTAGTCTAGTGGTGCTGCCCATACCCTAAAATTAGGAAAGTCCTCATAAATAAAGTCCATTCGTGTGGTTGCTCAAAAAACGTGTTGCATTGAAGTGTGATGCAGCCAGTAGAACTTCTCTACACAAGTCCTCACTATATGTCTCTGGTCTCCCACACCGGACTGCACCACGAGGCTGGATTGCCCTGTATATATAGCCCCGGAAGAAGGAAAGCACCACACACATACAGAACTTGTGCTGGACTGACTGGATTGGCCACTGGTCCTGGATGGATATTGTCAGGGCTCCGGGTATGACCAGAGGTATGTGAACTGACGCAGGGAAATGCAGGCTTCAGATATGTTATAAACAATATAATTTATTAAGACTAATAATACATAAACGCAGTGCAAACGAACCAAACCAAACCACCCACAGATAACAATACATACAATGCAAGCAGGCAGGCCAGGTCAATAACAATCGGGCAGGTAGGAACAGGAGGAGCAGGCAGAGAGTAGTCAGGTCACGAGCCGGGTACAGCAACTAATGGGCAGGTAGGTACAGGGGGTCAGGCAGAGAATGGTCGGGGTCACAATCCAGGGATCAAACAGGAGAAGTCAGCAGAGGTCCGGATCAGGCAGGGTCGGGCAACAAATCAGTCAGACAGGAACAGGAACAGGAATGCAGGTAACAAGATACAGGGGCCCATAGGAAAAACACATACCAAGGCGCAGACTGCAGGTCTGGCCATCCCTTAAATACACACCTGCATAATCAGCTTCAGGTGTTTGGCTGGCTGCAGGGTTGAGTCTCTGATTGCTGAGAGCACCCGCTGGCCAGCCCTGATACTGCAGCCTACAAGGCAGGTGAGTCCCACCATTACTGGCAAGTCCATTCCTGACAGATATGCGTGTGGGCAAAAAGGAAGGAATTCCTTCCGGTGAATCGTACCCAGTGATGGATGGTGGGGATGGGTCCTCCTGGGGATTGGGCTGCTGCATTTTCTGTGCAACGTTCTAGTCATTTCAGCACGTAGACTTGAGTAAAGAGAGAGGAGTGTCCAGTGTCCATGGAAATGCAACTTTTAATGCAACTTTTAAAGTATGGTTCATAGACGTTTATTAAAAAGTAGCAACATGCACATCAACCCAACACGTTTCAGGGGAATAGACTCCTCCTTCTTCAGGGCTGCTGCTGCTGTGTACTATTTAATGGGAACAATTCCCATAAATGATTGTGTTGAATCAAGGTTTCAGAAATCAGGATGGCAGGATGTTTGCTTTAGTTGCATAGGCAGCAAACTTGAAGAAGGAGGAGTCTATTCCCCTGAAACGCGTTGGGTTGATGTATGTTTTGATACTTTTCAATAAACATCTATGAGCCATATTTTAGAATTTGCATCTCTCTGGACACTGGGCCATCCTCCCTTATCTAAACACACATACAGAGCTAGACCTGCCACACAATCACATTACCCGCTGCATGTATCAGCCAGAAAATTAAAGAAACAAAACACAGCCACCGGGATAACATAATATAAAGGAGGCACCAACCTACAAGCTTTTAACAAAAAAAGGAATAAAAAATTGGCCACTCAATGAAATTGGAGGAGAAGCGGTTAAACCTTAAACTGCGTTGGGGGTTCTTCACTGTCACAGATTTGGAACTCCCTTCCACAACCGGTGGTGTCAGCGGGAAGTATTGATAGCTTCAAGAAACTCTTGGATGGACTTCTTAGTGAACACAGTATACGGGGATATCATTTTTAGCATGAACACACACATACCCACACAGGTTGAACCAGATGGTCTGGTGTCTTTATTCAACCTTACCAACTTTGTAAGTGAAGAAGCTGATTGGTTACCATGCAGAGCTTAGTAACCAATTGGTTGCACTCTCCAGCTTTAGTAAATCAACCCCAATATATACTACAAAACCCACCTTTTTTACTTTTCAGAACTTTGATTAAACAACGCAAACAGCAAAGTATGACATTTATGTTTTGGATCTTATCTTAGTTATTTTTCAAGAAAACCACTTTATTTCCTTCCTGCTAAACCCTCCTCAATGTGTGAGGTCTGTGACCACTTCTTCTTTGCCAATGGCGTACTGTATTCACTGTGTATGCTCATTAGTTTAGTCTCTCTTATTTTTTTTTACAATAATGTCAAATTTTTTGGTGAATATTAGTTTATTTTACAAAGATGAAGTTCCTTGAAATTCAACCAAAGCGTGTTCCGTGTTCACTTAGAGGTTTCATTGAGGTCCTCAGATTCCTAGAAGTTCTTCTTCTCTACCACTTGTTGTGGAAATAGGCGAAACATACGGCAGCAGCTAATAGAAATCCAGAGATCACCAGTCGTATAATATCCTGTGCCGTGTAGTCTGAGGAGAGAACCAGCAATGGATGTTATGTGAATTCAGTTTTAAAGAAAACAAAACTTTTTTTGTGCAATTTTGAACTGTGACAAATTCTGAGTATATATATGAAGGGCCTAGAAAAGCATCCTTCTCATTGGAAAGAAACAAAGATGTTGCTTCATGTTCCAGATAATAGAGGAGAGGTAACACAGGAAGAATCAGAGATACACTATATTGCCAAAAGTATTGGCCCTCCCAATCATGTGATTCAGGTGTTCCAATCCCCTCCCAATCATGTGATTCAGGTGTTCTAATCCCCTCCCAATCATGTGATTCAAGTGATTCAAGTGTTCCAATCATGTGATTCAAGTGATTCAAGTGTTCCAATCCCTCCCAATCATGTGATTCAAGTGTTCCAATCCCCTCCCAATCATATGATTCAAGTATTGCAATCCCCTCCCAATCATGTGATTCAGGTGTTCTAATCCCCTCCCAATCATGTGATTCAAGTATTCCAATCCCCTCCCAATCATGTGATTCA